GTGACTAAATATATGATGTAAGTGCAATGCACTTCCGCCTCACTAATATCGATGTAATTTCCTATTTTAAACATATGGGCAAATTTATCTCCAATAATTAGGTGAAACTCTCTCAAAGAAAAATTGTAGTGGATTTTTTGGGAAAGAAGCGTTTTGGATATTTCCTCTAGTAAACAAAATACAATTTTATAGCGATTTATCTGCACGAAAATGTGTTTTTCTTTCCGATATTCCGGCCATGTATACATTTTCCTACAGTTTTTTCAGAGTCTGTTAACTCCTATTATGGAAGAGTGAGTATATGTGAACCTAAAATTTAATGAATGAAACTTTTTTTATAATGAGAAAACAGAAGGTTCATCAATGAATCTACAATAAGTTTTCTTCCTGGGTGCAATTGTGTGGGAACTCAACTTTCTACACATAATAGTAGTTTCAAAAACTTTTCGAGAAAAACCGAGCTGTGTAAAAAAATTTATTATAGCTATTCCTATTGCTTGTTATTTTTCTGTGGATTGTGTAAATGCAATTATAACACTACTTCCGATTTCGTATTTTGTTCTGATAAACTGTCCCACGTTTTTATTTTTATTTTTGGTATTTTTGCTAAGGGCAATTCACGAGCTTAGCGCACTTTTCACCTATATTGGTTTAATGGCTTACCAACAGCTGTGTAACAGGTGTAAAATAATATAAACTCTATGAAGGACTAGCAAGCAAAAGTTTTCTTTTTCTATTCTGAGTCTCTTTGTTCCTCTCCCCTCTTCGGGGGCCTAATCGAATCGCAAAAATGAAAGCGCCTTTATGCATTCTCCTAGTGCCAGAGGCATTCACCTAAAGGCATTTCCTAGAGTAAAAAAAATTCAATTCAATTCAGAGCTTTCTCTGCCTCTTTCTCGGAGCTCAATCGAATCTTAAAAGTCAGCGTCTTTTTTTCTTTCTTTTATTGCCAAAAGCCTTTCGCCCAAAGGCAACTCTAGGGCAATCTCATTTACGTCAAGCTCTGCTCATGTGCTTGTCCTTTAGCGCTAGAGTGTGCCGAAATGAGCAGAGTATGAGTGTTCTTTGCTCGCTATTTAGCATGAAAAATACGCCCTCGCCACGGCTTCTGAATGCTCAATCATACTCTCGTGTGTTGCCCATAACAATGTAGCCCCCCCCCGTTGTGAGCTCCACCTTTGTGAACTTAGTTTGTACCTGGTTTAGTGCTTTGTAGGTTTGTTTGAGCTTGCAATCGATTTTGAAAACATTTGTGGCCCATGAAGTCAGGGATCGTCCAATATATATTCTTTATATTGCTTTAATTTCGTTCAGATTCAAACTGTAGGTTTTTGAATCCCGTTTTTTAGTCTATTAACAAGTCAATTTTGAGGAAGAAATTTAATAGGTTGACGCATGGGTTTTGCAGTATAATTCGTAACTTTTCTGTGACTGTAACGCAATCGTTTTTGGGCACAATGACCCTTTTTTTCAATAGATTGTCAAATTCAAATCTAAAAGGTCTAAAAAATAAAGCCGTTTTTAGCGTGAATCAGGTACAGTTTAAGCTTGATGCATTGGGTTCAAAATGAGAACGGCTCTATTTTATTTTTTTTTAACCCCTACTGTTGCGGCTCGGTGTGCTCAGCACTCCTCGCCCTAGTGCTCGTCCGCCTGACAACACAACTCCTCAACTCCAGGATGTTCCACCTCTGCGCTGGTGTGCGCATCACCAGCGCGTCCGCTCGACGCCTATACCCCTACCCGTACAAACAAATCACAGACACGACTAGATTAAATCACATTTACTAAAACATAAGAACAGAACATGAAAAACCTAAAACTACTAAAAAAGACTACTACTACTACGAGAGAAAGAAATAAGCACGGGACGAGCCGCCTCGTCCCGTGCTGCCGATGCTCCGATAAGATCATCTCCAACGTGTAGTTCCGGGTCCTCCATTGGGTCAACCGCAAGCCCCTGGCCCATACGGGACGGCGTGACCCCTCTCCACTCCCGCAATCCTTTCCTTCTGCGCGATAAACCATGATACTAAGCTGCGCGTCTCCAAACACAAGAAGATTGACAAGGGCTCAACCGCTCGAAACCGTTGATCATCTGCGGGAGCTACTGGAGGCGCTGCCAGCATGGTAATATCATCAAACGATCGATAACGAACGGAACTCGAGGAGGCGTAGACCGCGGCCTGCGCGCCCTTATATACCCTGCGACTTGGCAACGCGCCCAGTAAGGGAGAGGTCTTGGCGCGAAATTGATAGCGCGCCAAGTAACGCGATAGCCAGCGCTCCCGGCCTTCTGTTTCGAGGAGTGGCTTGCATCGCGCGAGCCGCGACACCTACAATTTCGAATTTGACCTGATCTCGAAAAATGCGTGATTCCTACAATATTTCTGCACTTCGCTACCAAAACTCAAAACTGCTCGGTTATTGTAGCTCACTACCTAGTCTAGAATATGCCCAAATTCCTCAGTCAAAAGGAACAATGTCACGAAATTAGTCGCAAAACTTAGTTCCAATAATAGTTAGAGGTTTATGTAGTTTTATTTGTTGGCTAAATATCATTTTCTGATAAAAGAAGTGGTTTGAAAGGAGATAGGATAATTTCTGAGACTACTTCTTTTGATTGATAGGATTTCCTTTCCCAAAAAAACATTGTATGTATGCTTGAGATCTGTTAAATTGACCTTCGGTTTATGTAATTCTTTTTTGACGTACAAATTCTTCTTTTTTTGAAGTTGTCATGTTTGTCACGATCAATAAGTGCGTTATTAAATAAATAAAATAAATGACACTTCGAAGCACGCAGCAGGTTTAGTTGCCATAAAAGGAATAAGAAAGTAAAGGCAGTTCTTTAGTTCTTTAGCGGATTTAATTTTTTCCAGACAAAAAGAAAGCGTTTCTTCCTTGTTGTTATGCCTATCACCCACTCAATAAACATCTACTTGGTTTTTTTTTCATAAGTGCCCTTTCTCTTCTGTAACTTACTTGCTCATTCAAACATCATGACATTTGAACGACAAAATCGATCACGTCGAGTTTCTATTTTCGATTTATTTTTGATTTTTTGATTTCACTTCATGCATATGTAGTCTCAAACAGATGGCAACAATATTGAACACCTTTGTACTTCACGTTTTTGATGATCCTAACCATATGGTTCCCACTGACAATAGAAATATGTTGGTTTCACCGCGGATTTTTACGTTTATGTTTTCATCCAGAAACCGGTTAATGTTTAGAACTTTGACTGTAACTGTTTCCCCAGCTCGCACGTTGATGTCAGACTTTTTCTCTATGATTGTTGTAAAAGACATTTAGCAACTGACCCATAATTGATTATGATTCTGTTGTGTATGCTTTGTGATAGATCGTTGTGCCAGCTGGTTTGAAGTTACATGAATTTATTGCATGAATAGCGCATTTTCAGTCTCTCAAACTTTGCCTAGGAATTGTTTCTGTTAATTTTGTTCATAAGTCTCGTCTCTCAACAAAATCTTTGAAAGATCTTATACTCCTGCAATTCGGACAAACTCGTCTGGTTCGGGATATCTTAGAAAGCAAGCGCACTTTTTTGATTGAATTTCCTTCCGAATTCTGATCGTATTCTGATCGTAAGAATGCCGAAAAATCTATTAGAAATTGGTCGTACTCTTGACTGTGGCCCTAAAGACCACCTTTTTAGCCTGACAAATTATTCTTAATTGGATTTCTGCAAAAGTTTGGTTTTTTTCTAAATCTAAATCTTCAGTTTCTATGATAAACCATAGAATTCATCATATAGCTAGAACGGCCAACGGCCTACCGAGTGAGGGCCGTCCTTGACAATGGGTCGCGAAATTTTTGAAAGTTTCTCGCATAAATTACAAGAATAGGCATTTGGCTTGTTCATAAATACTTCAGGTAAGCAATTTTCATAACTCAAGAAATTCAGGGCCTAAAAAAGTTGCCACGTCTCTCTTCTCAAAATTCCGCGGGTGATATGCTTTCAAAAATCTTAAAAGGCATCCCAAAATGAAATTTTTCGGGACCTTTGTTCGAAAAAAAAATTTTGTCTTCCTCCTCCCCCCTTGAACGGGAATGTTGGAACCACCACCTTTGAAGGATATGTGAAATAATCTAAAGTGTCTTTCTAAGTATTTCTAAACATTTTCCCGTTCAATTTTTCTCCCAAATTTTGGCTCAAACCTGAAGGACTGACCTATTATTCATGATTTTGGGTGTAGATGCACTTGTGAATTATTATTACCACATACCAGTTTAGTCTCAATTACTAGTTAATGCTTTCGTCACATGGCAATTTTATAACATTTCTAAAGATATGTCACGGATTTTGACATCTTTGTCCTTCAGACACGTGTTATACTAAATTTAAACGGTGTTATGTTTTAACATCAAAACTTGGTTAATTAGTAACCGCAACTTGATTTTTAATTGCCGTTAGCCAAATAGTGCCTTGTTTTAATAATTGTTATGAGAACTGGTGCAGTTGTACTATTTTATAAAGGAGATTATCTATCGGAATAACAAAGGAAATTGCCAGTGTCTTTGTCTTATATATTCCTGTAATTGCGCCTTTTGTTCTTCTATCTACCTTATCATTATCATCAGTGCATTCTCATTATTCATGAGCTTATGTCAAGGATATTGTTATCTTGATTAGGAACTTATATATAGTCCTCAAGCACTAAACCTTAAGAAGAATTTCTTTTGTTCGTCAACTTCTGGCGTAGGAGTTCCCCTTATAAAAACCACTATAATTTCCAGCCCCTCATAAGCTTACTTAACTTTTTCTCCATGAATACAAATCATAGTAGAAAACTTGGTAATGATTTTTATAATTTGTATAAGGTTGGCTAATACAAATAATTACGGTCGCTCTTACACTTCCTACAAATGCTAGAGACAAAATTTAGTTCAGTGTTCAGTATCTTTGTAAGGATCACTCCACGAAAATTGTAATATGTATTTTATTTTAGTAGAATTTTTTTCCTTCGAAAGAAATGCGTGAAGAAGTGAGAAACCCCAATTTCCTTATTGTTGGCAAAAATGAGAAAATTGGTTTTTTCGGTCAAATTTTGAAGTGGACACCCTGGGTAGCTGATATGGGACAGAAGAAGCTTCAAGCTAATTCACTCTCAAAAATCATGGGTAAAAAACAACAAGAGCAGTTTTTATTTAAAAAAATTTACGTCAAAACGAAATTTTTTAGCCAACTTGATAATCATGGCACATCTAATATCCCTTCTATTGTCTATCTATCCTGCTAAATGCTGATTTTCAGCGATTTCTTACGTGGATATTAGTCATCCGAATATTTATAAGAGTTATTGCCAAGATACGATGTAAAAATCAAAGCTATATCCTGCATTTTTTCTTCTATGCTCTTGTATTTCGATATTTCCTCGTTTATAATTTTATTTGTAGCAAACCCTTCCCAAAATTATTTATGATTGACTAGTAATTAAAATAATTCTGAGTTTTTCCAGATGTCGGACGGCGGCATCCTTATGTCCCCAGCCGTGAACAACTACACGAATGCCGTCTCATCGTCGCCGAACGATGACACATCCACAAAAAGAAAAGTCACGCACTCGCATGAGCACGGATTCTCAGGTAGGGCGCTACCTTTGCAAAACACTTATCGATAATGATTTTACACCCCACGTGAATGTCTGGACGATGTGAAAGACACTTTGGTTGTTTTGAGCGAAAAAGATCGATGCAGAACGCTAAGATGGCGTTACTAACAAATCCACTGCAGCTATTCATATTTCTCTTCGACTAGCCAGTTTTCGCTCGTTTTCGTCATGATCAAGGGTATGATTTGCTTGTAAAGTCAATTTTCACACAAGACCTATTTTTTACATACTGCCTCAAAAATACGAGTTTTTAGATTTGTTAGTAGCTACTGAAGTATAGGTACCAAACTTTAGAAAAACTTTTTCACCTAGCTTTGCTCAAATGTGTATCAGTTAGTAATGCACCTAATTATCAATATCTGCTGTAAACACGAATTTGAATTCGCTACTTTCGTGATCTCAAAATATCTGTGCTGTATTTCGGAATTTCGAAGAAAATCGCCATGAAGCACAGGGTTTGGCTGAATTATTGTGATAATCTGTCTATGAATGCTGCAAATATCTTACGTTCAAATTGGCGCTTGGGATGTGCATGACCACAATTATTTTGTGAAAATTGTGGATGACTATTTTATTTGGATTGAGTGAGCATTTTATGCTCACCTGTCATACCAAATTATTATTATCAAACCTTCTGCTCTCACATTTTATGCTTATGCAACGCTGATTGCTGCTACCACGATATATGTTCTCACTTTTTAAAGAATTTGGAACTTGCGTTTCAATAAGTTGAAGTTCTCTTTTTACCACAAAATTTATCTGAAAAATCAAAAAAAAGAAGGCGAACATGCATTAATTTGAGTATCATAATCATTGCTGGTAAACTCTATAAGAAGTTGAAATTTGCGATTTTCAATATTGACGTTTTTCAAGATAAACTTCTTTTCTTCAATATACTACTAACATTTTATATGGACAATAAGCAAATATACAAATCAGAACAGTATTTCGGACGTTTTCAAATAGATTTTCCAGAATTTGGTGCAAGCCCTATATAATCCAACCCAACACGTTTACTTTTCTTTTTTTTTCGACCCTTTTTTGAGTTTTTCTTCATCTTCCTTATAGTACAATTTCTGAAGAGGTTCGACATTTTTTCATTCCATGACAGTTGTCCGATACATGTCGTTGAAAACAAAAACCTGACTCGAGATGATATTCGTTTTTATATCTTTGCTGTACGACGTATTTCACGAAAATAGATTATTTTTCTCAACTTACCCTAGTCTGTGCATCCAAGCATCTTCTTTTCTGTATTACACTGAGCAGAGTAATATGAGCTTTAAATCAATCAGCCTAGCATCGCAGTAGCACTAAGTGTTATTCTTTGAGGTAGATGGATGATAGCTTCATGCTGGATGGCACGCAATTTGCTGTAGAAAATGAATTTTTGAAGTCCATATGAGAAGAACCGACATTTTAAACGAATAAATTTCGCTTGCATTTTTTCGAAGGCGCAAAGAAACTTCATTGAGAGCAAAAAAGTTGGCAAGCACTTGCTACTTTTTCTCAAGAAACTTGAGCGGCAACGGACAATGTCCGTTCTGTGAGTCAACTTCTGGTATTTCGTCATTTCCGGTTTTCTAATCAATACACATGCATTCTGGAAAAGAGGCCTTCCGCCTTCGAGTGTGGCGAGGGTGAATTCATCAAACGTTCAGTCGCTGCAGTCATGGTAAGGTCCGTGTGTTCAGACCAAGTCCGGATTCCCAATGTCATCGTTATGGTTGGACTTCCTGCTCGGGGCAAAACCTATATATCCAAGAAACTTTGCCGATATCTCAACTGGATAGGAATCAAGACAAGAGGTAGGTTTTAAAATTTTCAAAAAATAGTTTCAGCTTTTTTAAGCTCTCATTTATTAATTTAATTATTCTTACATTCAAATATACAAGAAAATGAATAAAAGCTAAGAATTGGAGTTACAAAAACCTTTTTGCGAGTTTTAACTTTTTAAGCTTTTATTTACTATATATTTCACAAATTTTATTACTTCGACTAGATAAAGCCCCTCCCTAATCTTGTTATTCAAAATCCAGTATAAGAAAATGGTAGAAATCCAAGAGGTGGCTTGAAATTTTTTTTGATTTTCAGCTTTTTAGCTTTTATCGATTAATCTGATTATTTTTACAGAGTCCAAAATATAAAAATGATTAGAGCCTGGAGAAATTTTTTTTTAATCCGTAGGTTCAGATGCGGGTATTTTGGTTATGTGATTTAATCCGAAATATTTCAAGGAACTCTATAAAGCGTGAAATTAGTGAAAAGTCAAAAATCTTTCCAGGACGCGACCCCTTTTGTAATGATAAGTTGCTAGCTTGCGAAAAAGTTTAGAAGCATACTAAAAGAATTTCTACAAGCATAGCTTGCTTTTTCACCTGAGAAAATCTGACTCCCTCTCCTCTTCCTTCAGAAAGGATTTGTGGGTACCTCATACCGCGCACCGTCCGAAGAGATTTTTTATGAGCTAATGATCACTGATAACCTTTTTCTAGCAGATCCTTCCAGTCATGGTAGAGGAGCTGGAAAAGGTTAGAGTCCCAAACTTTCCGTAATTTCTTCGGTAATTTCATATTTTATGGAGTCCATCCACTCCATAAAACTGAATCTCCGGAGTTTACAGCAATTTTTAAAGTTTTATCTCATATGAATGAAATTAGATTCCTTTTATTACTATTTTTTATTTCTATGTGGATGTACCTTATTTGTGCGGAGGAACTCTAATCAAAACTACACAGCTCTAGAAATTATTTTAAAATCCATAAACTAAGTGTACCCTTAAAATGTACTATTATCTATTCTATGATTGCGTGCAATGCGGTCGCGCGCCTCCTGGTCATAGAATGAACGATACTTACCCCCTAGCCTTTATCAATCTTATAGAGGTGTTTTTGCCTATATGGACTTTGAATGGAGCTTAGTTTGGTTCGCATCAGGTTGCGAAATGCTTGTTCAATTTTCAGCGAAAATTGAGGTTTGAGGAGCTGTGGGGATGAAGAGGATTCACACCTTTTTTATGAGAATGCTCCTTTGTATTGCTAATGAACTGCTAATTAAGTTAGGGAGAATCAAATTAAGCGCTAGGTATACTGTAGTATTGCGAGAACTCTTGCTGAATAATCATTCAGAGTCTCTTTTTGAGGCACGGATCGTATCTTTACGAGTGGACTAATCAGCGCCTTGCTCGAGAGCGCTGATTGGTCCGCGCACAGAGATTACGGTCTGGGAATTTGGCACTGGACTTCTCGTCTTGAATTAATAATATGAGTTGGAGCTTATACAGTGACTTAGAGTGACCCCTTAATCAGAGGGCACATAAAAGTCAATCATTAAGATTTTTGGTAATATCCTCAAAAATTCAGCGATGGCTAGAATAACTTTTGTTTATGGTGGAAGAAAATTAATCCACGTGACCAGTTGCTTTGTATCCCTTCCCTTTCAGCAAACTTTACATTTTTTGAAGAAAGCCAATTTATTTATTTATTTATCTATACATCTACAAAACGCTCAGTAAATTAATTTAGTAATTTCTTCAAAGTTTTTCAAGTTTTTAAAAGATTATTCGACTGTGTTTATCGAAATTTAACGCATTGATAAGACATTCAATTTTCTATTTATTATTATTGTAACATTTTTTCTGTTCCCATAATTTGTCGTATAGTTTTCCTTTTTTTATCATTTTTATTTAGTGTTTAACGTTGGCGAATATCGTCGTACTGAAGCGAATGCTGCTGATGCTGTACATGGTGCAAATGCGTCATTCTTCTCTCCAAATAACGCTGCTGCTCTGAAAGTGCGCAAGTGAGTACGGTAGTAGTACGGTAGTAGTACGGTAGCTTCTTTATTTTGGTTCTATCTACTAGAGATGAACCTTTAGTCATTCGTTTGCCAAATCATGAAATCGACATCACTCTGAGTATTTTCCATTTCCGCATGATGACATTCAGGTTTTTTGAACATTTTATATTTTTTTATTGCAGTGAATCAGCACGACGTGCCATGAACGACATGGCTGATTCTTTGAAGTCTGGCTCATGTTGTGTAGCGATATTTGACGCTACGAACACTACAAGGGAGCGAAGAAAAACTATCAACGATTTTTGCAAAGAAAACTGGTTTGTTAGTTGTTTGTTTTGTAGACAGAACTTTTTCTTTTACATCAATGGCCGTGACATGTGCATTCATTTAACGGTTGAACGTCACTTGTCAAGTCAACAAAACTTTTGGGCGAAAAAGTGTTTCACTTGCAAGAGAGAGAGGTCCACTGTGGATAACAAATTTGGGCATGTGTTGTCAGATGAATTTGCGCAACTGGACTAAAGGGAATCTTGTCATTTATGTAAAGATGTGATGGAGAAGTTTCAACCTTCTTCTTCGAAGGTTTTGGTACAGGGAAATTTCGGAAATTTTCTTGAGATGCCTCAAATAGCTCTGAAAGTTTTTGTGATGGCTAATTTTGATGAGACAATTCCTTAATTGTTTATATTATAATTTTCATCGGAGCGAGAAAAAGTCATAAAAAGGTAGATGAAGATGATTTCGCGCTGAAGCAGCTGAAGCTCATCCCTATTTGCATTTTTTCAGTCTTTCTCAAAGTCTGTTTTTTCAAAATAGGGTAGTTGTGCATAATATTATCAACTATTATATATAAGTTTTGCTTTTATATGTTTGCTGTTTTGAGAAACACTTTTTGTTACGTGATGGACACTGACTGTGAAATTTTTCAAAGGACAGAGCGGAAAGGGAAGTCAACAGAAATCTCTTTTAAAAGAAGGGCGTGGGTTAAGCAATACTTAAAAAACGGGCTTTTTAATGCCCCCGTAAAAGTTCCACAAAGCTTTTCGTTTATTATAAAATTCCTCATCTCCTTATGTTTGTAAAAAGAATTATTTACATACGTAATTTTATACCCATTCAGATCACTGTCAAACCTTCTCAACTTTTTTTCCATTTTTTGTACTTTAGGTTGCGTTGCTTCTTCATCGAGTCTATATGCGACGATCAGAAAATCATTGATAGTAACATCACCGATGTAAAGGTAGGTTATCTCTATGCAAACTTCCTTGTACAAGGGCTGAGTAAACTAGACCATTTGTTGTCCTTATAGGTGAACTCTCCTGACTACAAAGGTTTAATGTCAGCCGAACAGGCAAAGGAGGACTTCATGAAGCGAATAGAAAATTACAAGCAGCAGTATGAACCTATAGATGAGATCGACGATAATGCGTTGAGTTTTATCAAGGTGAGTGGCTCATTTCTGGTCAGGGGTAAAAAATATTTTTAAATGTATAAAATATTTGCTTGCAGGTCATCAATGCTGGTCGATCGTTTTTCGTTCACAACGTTCAAGGACATGTGCAAAGTCGAGTAGTTTACTTCTTGATGAATATACATCTACTTCCAAGGAGTATCTACTTAACCAGGGTAGGTTTGGGCTTTATTGTTATGTTAATCTAAACAAAAGTTACAATTCAGCATGGCCAAAGCGAGTACAACGCAATGGGTCGACTAGGTGGAGATTCACCCTTGACTGCTGAAGGCGAGAAATATGCTGAAGCCTTGAGCCAGTTCTTTGAGAAGGAGAAAATCAATGATTTGCGGGTTTGGTGCTCGCAAAAGGTGCTAACTTACTCCTGATATTCTGTAGTCTTTTTTGGCTCCGGAAGATTAATTTTCTCATTGAAGGTTCGTGCTGCACAAACGGCAAAGCAATTGAAGCCAGCGTTCCACACAGAATATTGGAAAGCGCTAGATGAAATCGATGCCGGAATATGTGAGGGACTCACGTACGATGACATTCAGCAGAGGTGCGTGGTTTTCGAGAAATTGCAGGCAGTGGTCAGGAAAATCGCATTTCCCTACATAGTTTCTTATGTGTGCGATTGGGAGACCTAAGTTAGCCAATGCTCAAGCAGCACCTTGTATCATCCCATTCAGTGCCAAGAAATTTAGCGCTAAACTCTCGCCCAGTACCGTATCCCTGCGCCAAATTAACGTCCTCGAGTACGGTAGTGGGCGAGACCAATGCGAGTATTTTGGCCGCATTCGATGTGTTTACAAGCACCGTGCACATAGGTAGTCCAGATACCTAAAATTGCTTGGACCATCTACACTACCCTTACTACACTCAAAAAATTTCGTATTTTCTTTGCTATATTGACTGAACATTATCTTCTTCTAGGCCATTTTATTTGATTTGAATTGTGAGTTATTTTTTGTAGATATCCAAAGCAAGCCGAAGATCGTGCAAGAGATAAATACCATTATCGGTATCCTTCTGGTGAATCTTATGAGGATGTCGTCTCAAGGCTTGAACCGGTCATTATGGAACTTGAACGACAGGTTTGTATGCTCTTTGTCTGCTTTGAATGCTAAAGATTTTTTGGGGGAGGGGGCTGGGTCATAATTCTGACTTCTAATAGCCCTATATAATTCCATTTTATTGCAGGCAAATGTGCTTGTCGTTTCACATCAAGCCGTGCTTCGATGTGTTTTGGCATATTTCTATGATATGACATTGGATGAGCTACCGTATATCGACTTGGGACTCCATGCCTTGGTGAAATTGACGCCAAGAGCATATCATTGCGATTCGACAGTCTATAGATATGATGTTGATAGAGGAGAGGTGGGTTTTTCGACTTTGGTAGGGTTTTGAAAGGGTGAACTCTATAAGTGATAGAATTTGAGAGTTTTTGTTCGAAACTTTGCTTATTTCAAAACTTTCAGTGGACCTCAGAGAATCGTCAACTCCCACTCTGCAGCAGTCCTCGCGACTGATGCTTCAGTCTATACTTTGTCGCGCCGGAGCTTTCGTACTCCCCATGCTTCCAAATCGTCCTCGAAGACAATCTACGTGCCTACAAGTGCTAAATTTTTTTGTGATTGGTCAGATACTAGGATTACTATGTGGTTTCTATGAAGGCACTCATGCATCGCCGCATTTTGATAGTTTCACATTACCGCCAGAACATTCAGAACCTGATTTGCCATACCTCACCAACGCCACTGTCTCATGTCTCAAACACTCTTCTTACTCACTTGTCTTTGAAAAAAAGCTACGAGCCAAACCGTTTTACTGGGATCTATATTTGCACTTTATATATTTGTATATAAGATGTAAGTAGGCTATTATGATGTCTGTTTTAAATCAAGTTGATGTGCTTTTTGAGCTCAAGAATTTTTCTAAAGTGTTTGTTTTGTTGTCTGCCACATAACTACAACCAGATCCCGGCACGCGCTGTTTCAAAGGATTTTTGAGAACGATGTCCCTCTTGACTTCGCAAATTCTTACAAAGTCCCACTGACATAAAAACTAATAAGAAAACAACAACATGATACAACAACAAAAATGTTGCAGTTCAAAGGACGCCTTGGCACGCATGTGATTGGAGCGCCATATCTATCAACGCGTCTATCAATATTATTTTTGGCTCAAAAAAAGAGGAGAGGCGATACATTAGTGCTCTCTTCACAGAGATTTTCTAGCGTTCCAATTGTCCAAATTAAAAAAGTCCAAAACTTATGTGAACTCGCCATTATTTATGCTCCGAACCAACCTAGTTGGTTTTTGATGGTCTAGGAAGCGACCAATTCGGGAACTGGTATTGGGACAAACTGTAACTTTTTACATAATTTGGTTTGGAGTACCATTGTATACACATAGTCCAAATTCGGTGTCATGTGATTGCTTGTGATTGCTGAATTAAGCCATTTGTTTATTTGAGCATCATTTTGAATTTGGCGCGCTTGATGAGAAGGAACACGTTAGAGCATGTCATTCCCATCCCAACCTGATAGTTAGCGTATTTGGAGGTCACTTATATGTACGCAGATCTTACGATATCCACTTTGCTTTTACCCCAAAAACGAAGTTCAGTTTGACTCCACACCATTTGCGTCGGTCCCTGATTACAACTGTAAAGGGCTGGCATTCGCATATAACGAATGTGTCATGTCCTTAGTCTCTCGAGACAACTTATTCATCGGGCAATTATAACTTTCTCGATTCCAAGTATGGATGTCGAGAAGATGGCTGTGAATTCGTCTGCTAACGGTTATATCGTGAGGAGGGGGTTAATCAATACTGACTCCTGCTTTGAACAGGAAAAAAAATAGAAAGAAGATGTGTAGTGGCGGGTAAATTACGACGTTTCAAGTAATAAATCACTTGTTCGAGCGTGTGTACCATAAAATATGTTTACCCATGGAAAGACACAATCCTTGGAAAACAAACAGACGTATAGGTTTTTCTTACTATCAAGTAGTTTCCTGAAAAATAAGGCATTTTTTAAAAAAGGAGAAATGTTTTTGGTGTGATGCTGAAGAAGACCATTCCAAAATTTATTCCTCTTGAAAACTCCAGGATCTAATGTGAATAGGCGAAAAATGAGGGGATAAAGGGTGGGGGCAGATACATAACTTGATGCCATAAATGAATTTGCGGGAGTTAGCAAGAGGATTTTGCATTGTTTGCATTTTGCGCATATTCGTCTTTCGCGTTCCGCTCATCCTTGTTTCCCTATGTAGTAACAGTTGCAGTCAAATTGTCAATCGATTCCTTCTATCCGTAAGATCCGAAATTGTGCAGTTTTGCGCAGTTGTCGTCCTTGAAACCTTCAGTTACATGCCCCGTGAGTTATCCACGAGCAAATTACAAAGGTTTTACCCTGATTCTCCTCTTTGGCACATATCTCGTCAGCGACTCACGTCAACCTCTGAAAACACCGTTCATCCGAATTGAGGGTGGTGAGATTATGATGCAGTGTAGTAGCGGGTCCCCTCACTAAACAATCGCGGAGGTCGCTGCAAAGGACGAATTTCTTTTTACAACTTCAATTTGGGTGGAGTGCTTCTATCTTAAGGCAGGCGAAGACAGCGGTACGAACGTCTCCTGACAGTTAAAATTGCCTTTTCGAAGCACGAGGTGGTGGATGGAAGTTAAAGACAGTATAGGAAAAGCGACGGCCCACAAGAGAGCCGCCGCCGAAGATGTACGACGACTCGACTCGGAGAAGGAGCTACCGCCAGGATACTCTCGATGCCATGCAGCCTAGCTAGTAGATAGTTTGCCTCTTGCATGTAGTGGCCTGCCTATTAGCTTGTGTGCTATGCTTCTTTGGCTTCTATAATAAACTTTTCATCCTCTCCCAACGTCTGGTTCATCCGGCCGAATGTCCGGAATATGGTGATGAGTTAGCTGAGTACAGTAATCTTTCAAACTGGGAAAAAAACTACGGAACGCGTCATAATTTTATAACAACAGCGGCTTGGCAGAATAACAACTTTGGGATATTCATCGTTCCCAGTTCCCTGAATGAGCTTCCAAGGCTGCGTTTTGCAGCTTCAAAAGATATCAATAAAACGCTTGTCTAGACGTGAGAAGTTCTATTTGGGCTGATGGCGTATACCTGTCTCTAGAGCGCGATTGACTCTGAGTGAAGAACCGTACCCATCACTACGGCAATTGGATTACTGGCTCCAGCACCACTTTCGCGACCTGCCCAAACAGCCTTTCCACGTCTGGAAAAGCGGGTTAGTGATATCTTTTGAAGCTGCAAAGCAGTCTTGGACTTGTCTCATCCAGAGGAACCAAGAACGATGAATATCCCAATTTTCATCCTGGTGAGCCGCTGCTTTTGACCTACAAATATTCTGAGGGGGTTAGCTCAGTTTGTTCGGGCTGCAAAAGGTTTAGTACAGGCCATAGTATAAGCTGATCGATGACGCACTGCTGATATAGTGGTTGTTAATCAATATATCTGGCACATTGGTTTTAGCGTGCTACGATTTGCAGTATACGACAATTAATATCTACGAAAACCATTTATTTATTTATTTATTTATTTATTTATTTATTTATTTATTTATTTATTTATTTATTTATTTATTTATTTATTTATTTATTTATTTGTTTATTCATACGCACTCCGGCGTGCCATCAATCCAACAAAACAGCAACACAAGGATCCTAAGTAGAACCGCAATGAAAATGAAGTAGTAAACAAAAGGAAACAAAAAAACAAACCACCGAATATCTTTGTCTGACCAGCACATCAAGCTACAACAAATGGGTGGGACCAGAGATAAGCTGAAAGGATATGCGAGTAGAGTAATTTCTAGACTGAAAGATTGCTTCGTTCGCTTACCCTTGCCAGCCAACAGACATGAAATTGGACAAACAGTGGGAGCAGAGCAGAAGCCCGGCAAACGGATACTCCGGCAGCCCCGCCGACATATCCAGACGGGTACACTGGTAGGGGCCACCACTATACCCGCTCACCCAACCTCTGCATCACTCCCACCATCCGGCCACCGCCATCCTTGTGGGCAGGGAGGGTAGAGCAGCCTTACTCAGACAGTCGATGGGATACCTCCGGGGCAGAAATGGCAGGGTCGCGGGCTTTCCCCATCGGAGGTTGCGACTTCGCGCTCCGGAGCCCTGCCATTTCACGCATTTTTGTGCTCCGGGGCTCTCCCAAAAGTGGCGCACCTCCGGAGCAGAGATTTGCGCGTCGCGGAGAGGGGTCCCATTCGTCCTGTTTGTGACGTCACCGTGACGTCACGGTGAATGTGGGACCCCTCTCCGCGACGCGCAAATCTCTGCTCCGGAAGTGCCCCACTTTTAAGAGCCCCGGAGCACAAAAATGCGTGATATGGCAGGGCTCCGGAGCGCGAAGTGGCAGACTCGCGCCATATGCCCGCCGGAGGTATCCCTTCGACTGTCTGAGTACGAAGGATGACTAAAGAGTGGGTGATGTGGCAACTCAGACAGTCGACGGCATACCTCCGGAGCAGAAATGGCCGAGCCGCGGGGTTTCCCCTGCTGGGGATTGCCACTCGTGCTCCGGAGCCCTCCCATTTGTGCTCCGGAAACCTCTCATTTGTGCTCCGGAGCCCTGTCATTTTCTGCTCCGGAGACCTCCCATTTGTGCTCCGGAGCCCTGCCATTTTCTGCTCCGGAGGTGGCTCAAATCTGGCGTACTCGTGGCGGGCAAATCTCTCCGCCGCGGCTCTGCCAAATCTGGCGTACCTCCGGAGCAGAAATGGACCTTTGGAGCAGATCCGGAGAAGGGTCCCACTCGCCTGCCGGTGACGTCACCGTGACCTACAAGAAGGGACCGCCCCCTCACCCCGCTCTCATTGGTCAATTGGGTCCGCCGCGGCTCTGCCAGATTTTGACTGTCCGGCGCGACTACGGCACCGATTGTCTGAGAACTCAAACATATGCCTACACTAACTCGGGGATGCCGTTTAGAGCTTGCTAGTCCATCCGCCAAGAACATACATATGTAGCCAAGCCTTAACTAGACAAGGTGATCACGCAGACTCAACAGGTCTAATACGACCTAAGCAGAGGCTAAAGACAAAAAGAACAAGGTACTAGAATTTATAAAGACAACCAGAACAGGAAAAAGCAGAGCTAGAAATAACATTGAAGAAATCGGGAAAAAAGGAAGTAGAATGTAGTCGGATGGATGTGGGCATTGTCATTTAACGTCTCCTAACTGGAGTAATTCAAAAACGTCGATCTTGGACAAGGCTTTTTTGAGAGTGGCAGGATTTTTTTTAGAAGTGCAGGGGCAAACACTCATCCATTTAGCTGTTCTAAAAGCAAATGTGCTTGATCTGCATTGACGACATGAGGGGGGGGGCAGCTTAGGTTAGCGAGAAGCAATGAAAAAGTGCCCTCCATAAATGGGACGAAACGACCAAAAATTAGAAGGCTTCAGGCGCCTCTGAAAAGTTTGAATGCCAAAATCAAATCCATTTGAACTCTTCTATAGTACAACTTTTCAAGTCGAGCTTTTGCAGACGAGTGCTATACGAAGGGAGGCTTTTCGGATAGCTTTTATCCGGGAA